CGGTCCGCCGTCTGACCTTCCGCTTGTCAGCGAGGAGCTAAGGAAGCGGGATGGAGAATGGAGCACAGGAACTCCGCATGTTCGCATCCTGGCCTTCTTCAGGGCCCTGCCGCTCGGCTGGGGTCTCCTGACCGCAGCTGTCCTCCCCTGGGTCCCTGCTACCTGGGTGTGGGGGGCTAGGGCCGGAAAATGGGAGGGGGAAAGCCTGGGCTGCACAACCCGGCAGGCCCCAGGCGAAGGCTGGTCTCTGGCCAGAGGGTGGCTTGGTTCTGGGCAGTGTGGGGCTGCCACCTACCCTCTGCGTCTGCTCCTCAGCATCTGCACCCTGCACTCCCTGGCCACGTCCACACCCGCCTTGGTACAGAGGCTGCCCGGCTGTGGGTGCCAACAGCTGCAGGGCTAAAGATGCACACTCCACCCTGGTCCACAGGGCCCTCAGTCAGGGCATTCCGGGCTGGCCAGAGCAGTCAGCGGGCGCCTGCCGAGAGAAACCCGGGAAGGCCCCTCATGGGGAATTGGCTGGAGAGGAATCCGGGACGGTCTGAGGGGCTGCAGGAGGAAGAGGAAGGGGACTGGAGAGGAGCCCGGGGTGCGTGCCCGCAGCTCCTGGACAGCTCCTGCTTGGAGCCGAGGGAGAGGCTGGGCTTCCAGAGACAGCGGCCAGTGTGGGAGAGTGCCGTCCTCGGGGCGCGAGTCCTGGGAGACACTGCAAGGACGCAGCCAGGAAGGGCAGTTTCCAGCCTCGCGAGGAGGGCGCCGAGATCACAGGTTGCCCCCTGCCTGCATCACTGGCCTTGCTGCCACCCCGCCCCAAGCTGGCCCGGAGGGCACCTGGTACCTGGGGGCAGCCAGGCCCGGGGTCGTTGGACCTCACGTGTTGCCCTGGCAAGGGCACCCAGACTTTGCAGAGGAGGGCTGGAGAGAGATCAGGTGGGCTGCACGGAAAGCCGAGGCCTGTGGGGACGGATGCCCTGGCACTCACTGCATGTCCAGCCCAGCCTGGGCCCTCTCCTTCCATCCTGAGAAATGTCACTGCTTTCTGGTGGCCACGAGCAAAGCCAGAGACCAGTTCACAAGGCACCGAGTGTCCGTGCACTCAGCCCTGCCAGGCCTTGGTGTGACCTGAGGTCCCATGACCCACTGCAGTCCCCCAGGCTCACTCCAGCGGGTTTTCCTCACCGAAGGACCTGGTTCAGCTTGCCTCCCCCCCCAAAACTTGGCCCCTGGCCCAGGTGGATGGAGGAGTACTGGTCAGAGTGGCCGCGCCCACGTCTGGGCCCAAGGCCATGCGAGAGGGCAGGTGGCCCGCAGCCCTTGCTGCAGATAGGGCCGGCCCTGAGCAGGATGGCCGGGCTGGGGAGAGCCCCCAGCAACCCCAGCACGGTGTGCACTGCGGGAGGGGACTCACAGGGGTCACTGGGGGCAGCCAGGTGCCTCCTGGGGAAGAGGACTGCCACTTCCAGAACTCAGAACTGCAGGGACTTGAGGACCCGCACACGCAGTGCACCATGGGGGTAGGTCTTCGGGGCCCCGGGGGGCTGGACTTCTCGTTCCCTAACTCTAAGCTGTAGTTCACGCGTGTGAGATCTGCCCCGCAGAGCTGCAGCGCGGTTTTCATGTCTTGGCAGAGCTGGGCAACCATTGGTAGTCCCTGGTTCTAGAAGGTTCTCAGTGCCCCAAAGAGAAACTGGCCCTTCAGCCCCCAGTGGCCCCAACCAGTGCGCTGTCTTTGGGCTTTGCGTTTTGGGCGCCCCTGTCATGGCTTTGCACGGTGGGGGCTGGCTTCCTCTGCGTCTGTCCGTGTGTAGCCTGTCTCAGCCAGGTCTGTGGGAGGGGGCCCAGGTGGCTGTTCACGGAGCACAAGCCGTGTTCTGGGTCGTCCCCGCCCTCGGCGACCCGTGCGGTCCCTCTCTCCCCATTCTCTGTGCTGGTGGACAAGCCTGAGCTTTGCGTTTCCCCGAGCCCTTGCTGTTAGCGATTGACAGGAGACTCAAACTGCCGAGACACGTGTCCTGAGGCACCACGGTCTCCAGCCCTGTGCCAGGCGTCCATGTCCTCCCCACAGCTGGGCACCAGGCCCTGCTCTTCTGCAGCCCCAGGCCCCGGACCCAGGAGGCGCCATGGCTGAGCCGACCTGCTGACCGCAGTGGCCCAGTGGAGGCTGTGGCCCTGGCTGTCGGCCGTGCCCACCTCGCGCCTTGCACTCACACCATGTGCTTCTGGAAGCCACGCCTTTCAGTGATCTGACCGCGTGTGCCTCTGCCTCCCCTTCCCGGGGGGTGTTTAAAAGTCCAGTTCAGGGCCCAACAGGTGGCGCAATGGTTACATTTCTGGACTCCCATATGGCCAGCTGCAGTTCAAGTCCCATACCTGGCTTGAAAGTCGTGTCGGGTGCGTGTGCACGCATGCCCGAAAGCCCAAGAGGAGAATGGAGAAGGGATGCAGCAAGTGCATAGTCCCTTTAGTAAAAATCTCCTAAAAAAACAGCCAGGTCAGAAGCAGCAGCCCACGCGCCCCGCACCAGCCCTGCCTCGGGACCAAGGAGCAGAAGAGAACCACTCCGGGCAGCGCCCCTCCCCTCGGTGGCTTCCCATGATGGTCTCGGGGCTGCTGTCCCTCCTGGGCTCCTCCATGCTCTCCGTCACTGGGGCTGGCAGGCTGGTGGACACGGGTCACCAACACCGGCTCACACCCTGTACCTTCCGTCCTTGTGTGACCTGGGCAGGCAGGTCTCCGAGCTCTGCCGCTTCTCGGGGAGGCTGTTCGGAGAGGACCTAGTATCACCTGGCCTGGGGGCAGGCATGCGGCTGTCAGCCGTTGTCCCTGCCCAGGTGCTCCCTCACCAGCTCCAAGCTCCACCGTCTCACCCGCCTGCACCCTGGGGATCGGGCTGGGCCAGGGCTCCCAGCTGTGCTGGGGGTCCTGGCACGTAGGGTCTTTGGGCCTGGCTAACTGGCTGGGTCTGTCCCCACTGTTGCGGCCGCTGTGGCTTGTCTCAGGGTGCCGTGCCCTGGCTGGGCCCTGTGGGCTCAGGGGTGTCTGTCATCTTTACTTTGGACAGAAGGGTCTAGGGGATGACCGTGCCCACACAGCACGTTGAGGAAGGAGCCTGGAGCCGGGGGCTTGGTCTGACCCTGGCTTGCTGCTGGCCCCTTCCTCAGTGACAAGTTGGGGCCCCTCTGAGCTGGGGTGTCACCAGGCCCCTTCCAATACCGTGGCCACCAGAGGGCGTCTGTGGCTGCCTGGACCACCCCCTCCTTGGGTGCCCTCCTGGCCTACGAATCTGGAGACTGGGTGCCAGGCCCGGCCCACCCCGGCCTGCTCCCAGGTTCTGTCCCATATCGGCCCCTGGAAGCGGCTGCTGAGTGCTGCAGGGGGCTGTGGGAGTGGCGGGCCTCTGCCGGGCTTTCCCA